ATAAGATTTGCCATCATTATGGACTCTCGAGAATCGAGGAGTCACCTTATTCTATAGACGACATGTACCCTTCTCTTATACCTGAGACGCCAGACGCTCCATCAACCCGCCAAGAACATCTTGACACCAAGCTTCGCTTGCTACCAAGCTAGGGGGCTCCTGTTCTGAATGACCCATACCTTCGAGGCCCAGTAACACAGGTCTAAACCCCCTTTCTACGTCCACGCCAGCCTTGCTGACCAAAAACTACAACCCTCCTTCCATTTTGTCCCCCAGGCGACAGTACCCCCAAGGTAAAACCCCAAAATGCCTTACCTTGGGATATCCAATCTGTCAGAGGGCCTTCCCAGACCCCTTAAATGGAAATTTCCCTTCTAAAAAGGTGGTAACAATGACTGCCACCATCCTGGCAGAGGCTGCATCGCTATCACCACAGCAATGTCAGCCACCCCTAGAATCCCCCGAGGAGAGTTGACCCAGCTCACCCACCCATGTGAGGTGGGCATCTTCTCCTCCTATAAGAACCCCTCCATCACCAGGCAATGTGGTATCTTATGTACCGTTACTCTGCCAATTCCTATAAGTCCTGACCGTCACACACACCCCCAACTTGCAATCCAGACCGGTACTTGGGATGTTGCTGCCTAGCTTGGTCTCTACCTCTGCTAGTTGTGGCAGCCATACATTGATTCATATCCCCTCCAAGGGAACATATTGGGCTTATAGTATCCAACGATAAAATACCCATCAATTTTGCAAAGAAACATAAGATGTAAATATTTACTATTATATTTTCAATTTGAAAATCTCTTATACACTCCAATGAGATTTATCCGGTATCCATTTTTAATTTTTATTAAATCAGTTTGTTAAACATCGATCAATTTTTTCATGATATGTAATAAAATTTCAAATATTATAAATGTCGGAGCGTGTCAGAGTATCGGGGAGTGTTAGGGTGTCGGGGAGTGTTGAACACGACACATCATATTTTTTGAAGTGTCGATGCAACATATGAGGGGTCATAACCTTCACCTAATAGATTAAGATTTTGGATTGTCTACAAAAAAAAATTAAGCTTTTGGATTAAATTAATTTTTTTTTACAGAGTATTAAGGGAAATAAAGGAAACATTTAAATTATTTTTTTTCTAAATTTGTTCACTCTCTCTTGGCAACTGTGCGGAATTGGACCTAAACAAGCCCTTGCAATCTGAATTTAAGGTGGAGGGTAGACTCAAACAAATAGAATAGAAAGGTTTATACGTTGTCTACTATTCTTGTGGCCAATATGGTCATAGGACTGAATTTTGTCCGAAGAGAATCAATATTACAACTATTGAATGGCCAAAAGACAATGGTGATCTCGGTGAGCCAGGACAAGAAGAACAAAGAAGCACCAATCAATCTCAGGAAGCAGATGTAAGGTATGGCCCTTGGATGCTGGTGAGCAAACAGAGAGGCTCGAGAAAGATGACTACACAGAAGGCAGAGGAAAGAAAAGACAAGGAGAAACTAATTCAAAAAGGGCTAGAGAGAAATGCCTCTAAGTTTGAAGTTTTGAGAAATCTGGAAAGTGAAGTTGGAAATAAGGATGATATACAGGTTGTCAGTGAAACCCTGATAAATCAAGAAAAAATCCAAGGTACTCAAGCTCATGAGAAAGGAAGAAAAAGTCAAAGGGGCAAGTCTAAATTGATTGAGACTTTGACAGCTTATAAAGAGGTTTGGGATACAATACAAGCTACGGATGCATACAATGAGCAGGAAACGATGGACAACGTGGCAATATTAGAGGCGAAGACTAGTCCCAAGCCTTATGGGATATGCCAAGAAATGTAGGAGCAGAAGGACAAAATGGTGGTTGACCAGATTGAAAAAGAGAGGCCAAAGTGTCTCCATAGAATTCAAAGGGAATCCCAGGAAGAAAATTTGCTTGATGAGAATTCCATATTGGAGAAGAGAGTATTCCCCCTTCTTGTTAAATCCCAATCGGGTTTTTAATGTCTGTTCTCTTTTGAAATTGTAGAAGGGCAACCAAACAAAGTTGGGGCGTACTCTTAAATCCTTAGTGGTAAAGCATAGACTGTAATTGGTAATTCTATTGGAACCAAGAACTCAAAGTAGTAGTTGTGTGGCTCTCATGAAAAAGTTAAAGTTTGACAAAATATGGGTAGAAGAAGCAAACAGAGGAATCTAGATAATTTGGTCTTCTCATTAATGTCAAGTAGAGACATCAATATGGGTAGTTGTGTGGAGACATCAATATGGGTAGTTGTGTGTAGTCATTATGTTGGTGCGAGATTAACACCCTTGATAAATGTAAGTGTATGTTGTCAACAAGTAATATCGAATTGTGAGTCCAGATATCGTTCCCATAGAGATAATTTATAAAATGTGATTATTTAAGTGAAGAAATCGAGAAGAAGGAAGAAGCTTGATCTTTATGATTGATTTTATAAAATAAATGCAAGTAAACTAAATATAATTGACTAAACTAATTAAACTAATGAAAGTAGCAAGGTAAACTAAGATATTAAAGTGATATATGTGATATAGGTTAGGATCAATTTCCCTGATACAGAAATATTGTAATGATGCTATAACATTAAGTTCATCAACTCTCAATGTGTAACTGGACACTAATGTACATTGGGACTCTCGCCAACCTTACATATATACCCAGCACTTAACCCCCATATCTCTATGCAAGAATTAACTACTGAATTCATTAAATTCAAGTTCTAAGGCTATATGGTGCGAATGAGCTCTCTACCTACAACTTAATTAAGTTATCTTTTCAACCTATTTAATCCATACTACTCAACAAAGGTCTAGATTCGGAAACCTCTTGGCCCCAGCCTCCTCAATATAATATATGTATCTCTTGACATACACATATGAATGAAATAAGAATATTCATTGAATAACTAATTGAAAATTAACAAAAGTCTATACTTAGGCATCTATTACAACATAGGTACTCTATCACTCAACCTAAAAACTATTTAGCTCATGATGGAAATAAAGAAAGAAGAAGAAAAAGAGAGAAAACATTGAGACAAATTCGAAAAACTATAACATTATCCTGTATCAGAATTTGGGCTCCAGCTCTGCACACAAGCTTTGCCTTAGCGATGCTACAATACGACTCTACTCCATGTCTTCAGCTTCCGGAAACTTTTTTCTCTCTCTAAGATTCTCCCTCTCGGGCTCGAACCCCTCCACTATCTCTCGATTAGTGGGGATGAAAATAAGGTGGAATTACCTTTGAAAACATCCAAGAGAAGCTCCCGAAGGAGCGCCGAGCTCTGAAGAAGCATGCAATAATGCGTGGTAAAGTCCTTTTTATATAGGAGTTGTGGGTGATGACTTGGGCTTCAAGTTTAGGGAGTGCAATCATTGTTTTGGTTGAATTTTGCTGCTATAGCCTTATCTTTTCCTTACCTCTTATCCAATTATATTGGGCCGTTAATACTTGATGGATAAGATCTTTTCTTATCTTATTTGTATTTGAAAATATTGTTTCGTATAAGATAAGAACCTACCCTCATTGATTTTTGGGATTTGAAGCTGGTTTAATCTTTAAAAAGTCCTTATCCCTTGATTCCTAGAGAGTTATCCATCAGTTGGGAATCTTTACAAACTTTTGAATTTATGCAATATTGAGCTCAAATATCAAGCAATTAAGACAATAAATATGGAATTTATGCAGCTAATTCATCATAAAAATTCTAAGTTAATTCTCAATTTATGTCTTCAAAAAAATAAAAAATAATACTCAATTTTTATGATTTTTTAAAATTCAAAAGGTTTTCACAAACCATATATATATATATATATATATATATATATATATATATATATATATATATATATATATATATGAGTTTATCGTTTCTCAAGTTACTTGAAATAATTTTATCTCCGGCCATCTCAAAACTATGCCATTTTGGGTGTTAGAAGAATTAATGAAAGATGTTTTGGTAAAATTTATATAATAAGTAAACAAACAAAAATAACAAAACACCCTACATTAATTCTCTTAATACTCAAAACGACGTAGTTTTGGGATGGCCGGAGATAAGATTAGTTGAGTGACTTGAGAAATATTTTTCTCACACACACACACATATATATAATATAAATTTAATATTTATCATGTTATAGGAGATAAATATATATATATGGGATTTACATTTCTGCAGCTGCTGTACGTGCAACAATCAAATACTTGCCACATATATACTTGAAAGCATTAAATGCAAAGAATCATAACCATACACATGTCGTTGCTGTACGTAAAGCGACTGTATAAATGATTTTACACACTTATATATAAAATTAACTATCTATGACAATGACGTATTATGCATATACCTTGTCTTTTGAGCAATTTCTCCGTTACTATGTGTTAAGTAGAAGGAGGGAAATAAATATTTATTTATTAGCAAATGCCTAGAACAAATGCGGGGTGATTTTGGAATTAAAATCTTTATGCACTTGTATAAGATCTTAAAATTGACTAATTTCTGCTGAGTTACTCGACTAACTTTTTTTAACACAACTCTGTATATCATACACGAATTCGAAACTGTTGATTATGTTGGAAAAATCTGGTCTCAATCAACTCACATAGATTTCTTTGCCGTCTTGATTGCCACTCATTTTCCAAAAAAATATTAAAAAATTTGAAAGAAAATGCTCTTTCTTTCGTGTCTCCATTTTCATTGGCCCGATAATAGGACCCCACCTTTTTCTCTTTTTTCTTTTTTTTTTTTTCACAAAGGAAAGGAGAGTCAGCAACTCAGCAACAAGCACTTTCACAAGTCTTCGCGTTCTTACAGTCCAAGTCTTCTCTGCAGCTGTGGAAATCTTTGGCTTTCCTTGTTTGACCCGTTCCACATATATCTTTTTCTGCTATTCACAACCGCACTATCAAATATCATCTCAAACTCACAAAAAGGAAACTTCTTTGTTCTCTTCTCCTTTGAAATTTTCAAACTTTACAATACTCTCATATCTTCCAGTCTTCATTTTCTGCTGTTTACTTAATTTTTTTGTTGTTATTATTTTGCCTTCTCTTATGGGCAGAGTAAAGTTTCCTGCAACCTTCATGGCTTTTCCTGACTTGGGTTGTCCAAAAATCCAGGTGGGTATTTGAGTACTTGTGCAAAATCTCATTTTTACCAATTCATATCTTGAGTCAACTTTGCTGGGTTTCTCATGGTTTTGATTTTGATGTCTTCTTTTTCCTTCTGTCAAGGAATCTTTATTGCAGTGTGAGTTTTGGTTTTTTGCCTTTGTTTTTATTGGGTTGGCTTATTTTTTTGGGGGGTTGACTTGGTTTGTGTGAATTCCTGAGCTGTGTTTATTTTCAATGTTCGTCAGGGTGTGTTCTTAGGAGGATTGTTGTACTATGGAGTTTATATTGTAGTACTTGGTTTCTCAGGGTTTTAATGTGTTCTTTTCCTTATGTCAAGTAGTTGCAGTTTGAATTTTGTTCTAAAGTAAAGAATTTTGCCTTTTTGTTTATTGTTTTGGTTTATTTTTTGGGTAGTTGACTTGGTTTATGTGAATTGCTGAACTGTTTTTCTTTTTGATGTTTCTCAGGGTGTGTTCTTAGGAGGATTGTAGTACTATACTATGGAGTTTGTATTTTATGCTGTGGCTTAAATTGGATTGTATTCCAATTTGAGTGAGGTATCTGGATTACTTCTTGTTCTTCTTCTTCTGGGCTTGTGTTTAGGATCTTGGTGAAGATGGTTCTGAGTAGCAGGATTTTCAGTTCTCATATTTTTGTTAATTTCTTGCTGCTGATTAGTTGTGGCATGACCTATGGGACTGTCAGTGATATCCTCTGCTTGAGAAGTATCAAAGATTCCCTTCAAGACCCCAATAATTATTTGGGGTCTTCTTGGAATTTCAACAACAACACTGAAGGGTTTATCTGCAGATTCAATGGGGTTGAATGTTGGCACCCTGATGAGAACAGAGTCTTGAATCTCAAAATGTCAAATATGGGACTCAAGGGCCAGTTTCCTCCTGGCATTATAAATTGCTCAAGCTTAACAGGATTAGATTTTTCAAGTAACAAACTCTCTGGAACCATTCCAGTAAATATATCTACTCTTATACCATATGTGACATCACTTGATCTATCTTCAAATGAATTTTCTGGTGCCATACCTGAGAGTCTTGCGAATTGTACCTATCTCAATACCCTCAAACTCGATCAGAATCGACTCACTGGTCAAATTCCTCCACGAATCGGTGTTCTCACACGAATTAAGACATTTACTGTATCCAACAATCTTTTGACAGGGCCAGTTCCTACCTTTACCAATGATCAAGTTATGGTAAGTTATGCAAATAATCAAGGCCTATGTGGAGGAGCTTCATTGACGCCTTGCCCGGGTAGTGATTCGAAGAGTAGCACTAACACTGCAGTTATAGCTGGAGCAGCTGTTGGTGGTGTGACTCTTGCAGCAATAGGATTGGGTGTTGTTATGTTTTTCTTTGTTCGCCGTGTTCCTTTCATGAAGAAGGAAGAGGACCCTGAAGGAAACAAATGGGCAAGAAGTCTAAAGGGAACTAAAGCAATCAAGGCAAGCTATATTGATGCATTGCAAATGACATATATCATTACACTTAGAGCAAATATTCATTTTTCTTCTTAGATCCATATGTGTTTTATAACATTAGAATATGAGATACTTGTTTAAAATATTTTCAGTAGAAACTAGTTTATTGGAAAACTTTTCCAATCTTTTTTAGATACTATCAACTGAAACATTTTTTTTTTTCATAAATGTTTTATTAGCTTGATATTGTTGATTATGTTAACTGGGAAAACTTATTTAGCATATTGCTGTGCTAAACTCAGGAAATTATTATATATTCTACAGCATACTGATGAAGTATACATATGCTATGCCAAAATTAGAAAATGCATAATATCCTTTCTGAAAAATTATTTTTTGTTAGATTTATGGAGCCTTAGTTCATGTGGTTTTGCATACTGTTGGTCTCTTTTGAGAATATTATGCCTACTTCTAACTATACTGAATTGGATATCAGGTTTCTATGTTTGAGAAATCAATTTCAAAAATGAAATTGAGTGATCTCATGAAGGCTACTAACAACTTCAGTAAAAGCAATATCATTGGGACAGGAAGAACAGGAACTGTTTACAAAGCTGCTCTTGATGATGGCACAACACTTATGGTTAAGAGATTGCAGGAATCTCAATACTCTGAGAAAGAGTTTATGTCTGAGATGGGTACTCTAGGGACCGTCAAACATCGTAACCTGGTTCCTCTTTTAGGTTTTTGTATGGCTAAAAAAGAGAGGCTTGTGGTCTATAAAAACATGCCAAATGGAAATCTCCATGATCAGTTACATCCTGCTTCTGGTGAGTGTACCCTTGAGTGGCCTTTGAGGCTCAAAATTGCAATTGGAGCAGCCAAAGGATTAGCATGGCTTCATCATAGCTGCAATCCCCGTATTATCCATCGAAACATAAGCTCTAAGTGCATCTTGTTAGATGCAGATTTTGAGCCCAAAATTTCTGATTTTGGCCTTGCCAGACTAATGAACCCAATTGATACACATTTGAGTACTTTTGTGAATGGGGAGTTTGGGGATTTAGGTTATGTTGCTCCTGAGTATGCAAGAACTTTGGTTGCTACTCCTAAGGGGGATATTTATAGCTTTGGGACTGTGCTTCTTGAGCTTGTGACTGGTGAAAGAGCTACCAATGTAGCTAAAGCTCCAGAAACTTTTAAAGGAAATCTGGTAGAATGGATTGCGCAACTCTCAAGCAACTCGCAACTCCAGGACGCCATTGATGAATCACTAGTTGGCAAGGGTGTTGATAATGAGCTTTTCCAATTTCTAAAGGTCGCGTGCAACTGTGTTTCACCAACTCCAAAGGAGAGGCCCACCATGTTTGAAGTATATCAGCTTTTAAGAGCTATTGGGGAAAAATACAATTTCACTACTGAGGATGAGATATTGGTACCTGTAGATATTGGTGATGATAACTTGGAGGAACTTATTGTAGCGCGAGGAGATTGTTGAAAAGGTATGTCAGATATATAGGGTATATGTAATCAGTTTTAATTTGTAATTATCTATCTTTTTATTGTCCTAAAATAAGTGTTAGTGTTATATATAGTTTTGTGGATTTAGATCTGGTTGTGTGCTATTGATATCAAAACATCAATATAAGATCATTAATCATGGATTGTTTGCAGTTGGGTAACTTCTTTCTAATCCTTTTTTCAATTTGATTTCCTTGTTCTCCCTCTTGTATGCTGATATGATATGTATGGCAGAAACTCGTTTAGTAGTTGTCATTGATCAACTATTCTAAGAGCTTAAGTTGTGAGGCGAAGGCTTGTGAATGATTTTTTATATTTAACACGCTCTCTCATGCAAAGGTCTATTATGCTTGAAGTGTGAAAAATGCACATCTGCATAAATGTTGCGGAGATTTGTATTGTATGGTAAAAGATTAAGAAATGTTAAAATAAGAATTCATAGGTGTCCTCCATTGAACCATGTTGTGTAAATGTTGGGGACTTAACATCTGTACTAAGAAACAAAGTATTCATGTTAAATCTCAGAACTCATTTAAGTACATTGACAAATTTTTTTTTTTTGGTGAATATGTTGACAATATTGTGTTGCTCTCTAATCTCTACTTGAAAACCAACATGCCAAAAGCAAGGTGTTATATAGACTTATAGTTATTAAAAGATGAATGATGTTTCGTATGAAATTTGATCTGTTTTGGTGAAATGGTTGTGCTAGGATACTCCTCCTTTTCACTTCAACTTGTCTCTAATTCTTAGTTGCTATGTCTAGTTTGAAAGATTGAGCCCCAACCACTCCCAATTTACAGGGAGTTTACAAAATTGTGAAGTCACTTATTTTTTTAATTTTCTCTGTCATATTGATAAGTCCAGTAATATTAAATTCAATATCTTATGTCAGAAAGACCAATTCTTAATATGATTTCATGATACAATGATATCTAGGTTCTAAAAGGAAGATTGACTTCTTGAGTTTGTCGTGTGGAAGCACATTGTATAAAATGCATTTTAGAATAATTATCTTTGAAAGTTTGAGTTTATGTTTGGAAGTTCATGTTTGTGTAAAAGTAATTTTCTAAGAATGAGTTTTGTTTGGATAGTGTTGAATGAAATTACTTGGAATGTGAAATTATGAAGAAGTCTATTTCAAAATATTTTCCAGCAATGAGTTATGCAATGCAGATCTTGCCAGTGAAATTTTGTTGTACAGTATAGTGTGTAATCTTAATTTCTCTTTCTTTCTCAACTTAATGAAACATTAAAAATAAAAGGGTTAAAGGAAAATGTATTATGAATGTGAGTTGCTTTAAAGGAAATGTGTGTTGAGATCCTAGTTTTGGTTCTGAAGTCCTAGATTCTTACTATTTTTGTTTTCCTTTCCATACTTAGAATGTTCAGCATGATAATAGTATTCTTGAGTAAGGTTGTTAATTGTTTGGCGGATTTTTTTGTATCGTGTATTATAAATCGTATCGAATCGTAATATATAGAAATATAATAAAAAATATTTATTTAATAAATAGATACATATTTTGAATAGTAAGATAAAAATATAATAAACAGATATAGATTTTGAATATTTATTTAATTATTTTCTTTATTAATATAGATTTTCCATATTGATTTTTGAATTTAAATCATAAATTAAATTTTTATTTTCTTTTCCTTATTAATAATAATTTTTTAGATTTTTTTAAATTTAAATCACAAATTAAATCTTTATTTTTTATATTAAAAATTATATATTTTGATTTGATTTTTGTATGGATATTGTATCCTATGTTAAAGTATTGTATTGTATCGTACGATATTGATAATTATGTTGTTGAGGATTATTGGAACTCTTGTCCATGTAATTGGCGGTATACTAACATGTCTTCCTTTGATATTGGGAATTGGCACATAACACAAACTGATAAGGTAACATGGATTCTTATATGGGTTTTTTTTATATTTATTTGTTTTTGAAAAATATTCTAATCAGTTCATCGCTTCACAATTAATTCGATTTAGGACGGGTTCAGGATTAAAGCTTTAATGGTGTTTTTTTTGCAGCATGCAAATACTTAGATGGTCCCATTGGAAATAAATAAATAAATAAAATTAAAAAACATTGGGACACAAAACGGTGGGCTTTTTCACCCTTTTGCTCCTTATTAATTGATTAATAACCATTTTGCCCCTGATTCGAAACTATTTACCAATATGCCCCTCTTTAATCGACTACCTTGCATTTTTAATCGACTAAACGGATGTTGGGAGATTTAATCGGCTAAATCTCCCTACTTAATCGATTAAAATCATACTGACTTATTTTTTTTTTGTCAAATATGAAGATTTAGTCGACTAAATAGGGAGATTTAGTCGACTAAATCTTCCAGCAGCCATTTTTTGTCTGTTTTGGCCATTTAGTCGACTAAAAATGCAAGGTAGTCGACTAAAGAGGGGCAAATTGATAAATAGTTTCGAATCAGGGGCAAAATGGTTATTAATTAATTAATAAGGGGAAAAAGAGTGAAAAAGCCCAAAACGGTGTGAGGGTAACATAAATAATATAATAGTGTAATTGATGTATTAAAATATAATACGAATTGTTTTATTTACGTCTGAGCAAGATGAGTAGTTTTATATAAAATTTTATTTATTAATTTAACTTATATTTAACAGTTTAATTTTTTAATTATATGAGATGTTATTCATAATTAGTGTAAGACTTGTTATTTTATTCTTATAGTAGAAGTTGATTATTCTTTATTATCTATCAACATTTTTTTTCTTATTTTTTGTATTCTTCAACCAAATTATTCCAAACAAAAATTTGACTAGAAAAAATATTATTTGAAAGCAAATCAATTCATTTATAACAGTTTTCACGAAATGTTTTCATGATACTTACCATTTGAAATAGGGTAATATATCGGTACTGTCACAGGAATTTTTTTTTTCTTCCTACAGAGACAATTTTCTCTGGACCCCATGCATTGTGTTTTCTCTCTCCTTTTATTAATTTCTCTCTCCTAAATTATTGTGTCTACAGGACAATTTTCTTTTTTCCTACAAAAGCATGGATGCATTCCCCTTTGAAATATAGTGGGATGTTTGACTGTATTTTGAAAAATTAATCTCTCCCTTCTAAAAAAGTGTTGGACCCACGCAATCTTTTAAATATAAATTGGACCATTTCAACAAAAGCAATATACTCCACTTTTATTTTTATTGACAGTGGACTATTTTGAATCAGATAAAACTGATTAACATTTCATTAAATTTAATGAAAATCTAAATATTTTTCATACTTCAAATGCTTTTATATTGTATTTTTTGTGTGGAGATATATTGTATTTTATATTGGTATGCATAGATTATTTTTATAAATTTATCTGATTGGACCTAAACATAAATCACAAATATCGCTGGTTTATTATTAAATTTATATTCAACAATATTAACAAAGAAACAAACTTGCAGATTCCACTTTTGCAATAAGTTATTATAGAAAACTACTTTTTATCCTTATCATGCTTCTATCTTTCTAAAAAAAAGATTGGTTATCAGCACTTTGCAAACATTATTATGGACAAAGTTTCGATATAAATAGCATTGCTCTTTTATCAATGGTGCTGTTTTTGTGTTTGTCTTCGTTTAGATGTCTAAAATATTCAAAATACCAACAAACCAAAAAAAAAAACAGTGGGGTTGGAAAGGTTGTCAACGCATGAAAATTTTTCAATGTAAGTTGGCCAATAACAAAGTATCTATCAAAGCATGGAGTGCTTACTAGTCCCATGGAGATCCTCGATGCCCCGTCTGCAATGAATAGGCAGAAACCTTACTGAATGTTGTTAGGGATTGTCTCACCATAAAAAAGATACAGGCTTCTATTCTGCCTCCTTTAGAAAGGGAAATCTTCTTCGGAGTTGATAAGCTTGAGTGGCTGCAATGGAACTGAAATCATAAGGTGGAAAGTACAGGTACGATCTCATGAGCTACACTTTTTGTTGTTGGTTGTTGGATGATATGGCGGTGACGTAATTCAGTTGCACATGGCCAACTAGCCCGTCCTTTTCTTCACTCGCATCTCGTTGTGATTGATAATGCGCAGCAAGTGTGCGTTGCATTTGTAAAGGACACATATCTTCCAATCCAACATACTATTATTTGGCTTTCTCCTCCGGAAGAATTTATTAAATTAAATACAGATGTGCTTCTAGGGGCAATCCGAGGGTCACTGCTTGTGGTGGGGTGCTCCGAGACTCAAGTGGCAGCTGTAGAGGTGGATTTTCTTACGGAATATATGTTTGTTTAGCATGGAATGCAAAACTATGGGGTGTTCTGAAAGGACTCCAGCTAGCTTAGAGTAAGGGTGCAGGAAACTAATCATCGAAAGTGACTCAAGCTCTATTGTCGCATTGCTCACTAGGCATGGTGAGAAAGCTCGTGAGACATCTTTGGTGACTTGGATTCAAGCAATGATCAATTGTAACTGACAAGTTCACTTTATTCATACGTTGAGGGAGGCCAATTGCTGCGTTGACTACCTGGTGAACCACCTGCTAGACCGCCCAGATATTGATGATGATTTTGTCTTCTCAGAATCTCCTTCTGGATTACTCTTGATTTTGCTTGCAGACTCCTCATCCACTCCTCGAGTAAGGGGTGGTGGTTGATTCTTTTATTTTTGTTTTTTGTTTAGTTTTTCTTCCTGTGTCAAAAATAAAATAAAAATTAAAGTACTTTAAAATGGCTAAAGAAAATTATAAACAAAATTATAATAAACCCTAAGTGCAATTGAATATTAACGTATTATCACTTTAGTCCTCCAAATATTTTTATCTCCGAATTAATACCTTAAAAGTTAGTGTATAATACAGTACATCTCTAAAGATTTTGATCGCCAATTAGTCCTTCAAAGATCTGAACCATCTCCACATTTGTCTTTATAAACGGCTAAATGGTGACACAAAAAAGATGAGTTCAGTAATTATTTTATATCTTTGAAAAAAAAGATTCGATATTTTTTTATACAAATTTTGTTATATTTTAATTTTTTAGGTATTAAGAGTATGTTCGGAAATAATTATTTTTGCGAAAATAATCAATATTTTAAAAATCTTTTAAAAAATTGTATTTTTTAAACCTCAAAATAAACTAATTCAAACACTTACTAATTCAAACTAATTCTTTTAACTCGATAAAAATAAACTGGATTGTCCCTTATAAAGTGAGGCAACA